CAGCTCTGCACCTCCTGCTCCTGCCTCGCAAGAGCGGCCAGGCCCGGGGGACGAGGCAGCGGGGTTTTGCACTGAAGAAGCAAGTGAAGAGGGTTCCTCCCTCAGCAGGAGGGCTGCTCACTGCTCCTGTCCCCCACGGCGTGATTAGGGCAGCCCAGGGGAGCCCCATCCTGCTCTCTGCTTAGCTAGCCTGTGCTTAAGCTACAAGGATAAACCTCCTGCCTACTCCCAAAAGCCCCCAAAGTAGTTTTCAAAACTGCTGCTGCATTGCCTGTTGGTGGCCAAGGGCCCCTCCTGGTGCTGTGTGTGGGGCTCCGAAGTCCCCACCGCTATTGCTGAGGGGGGAGCTGAGCAGAGACCTCCAGGCAGGAATGGGGCTGCCCCATGGTGTGAGGCCTCTCAGGGGCCCTGCTCTGAGCTCACTGCTGCCTTGTCCTGGGGAGGGGCCGGGCAGGAGAGCACAGCAGCACTTGCAGTCCCCAGCAGCACCCACAGCCCCCAGGCCGAGGGGAAGTGAGCAGGACATGTTGGAAGGGGGTTGTTGAAACACCTGCCTTTTGGGGAAAGCAACAGGGTTTGCTGTGTAGCATTTCCAGGAGAGGAGGGTATTGCTTAGCACAGCAAAGCAGGGCTTCCAGACGCTGCTGAAAGATATCGCCTGGTGGAACAAAAACCACATCCAGTTTAAACTAAGAAGCATAAGCTTTGTTGAAGGGAACTGGAGCCTGATGTTGTAAGATAGGCTGCCAGGGCCAGAAATCTTTCATCATAGAATATAACTGTCCTTGTCCTCAGTGAAAAAGTGCTTTTGCACATTGAAGCTCAGTGAGTGTGTGCACAAGAGGTGGACGGGAAGTCCTCTGACCTGTGTGAGGCCAAGGGAGCTTGCAGTGATGGCCAGGTGATGGAGGCCTTCCGAGCTCTTTTCTGCTCTTGCCTTGTGAGCTAAAGGAGTGAAAAGCTCTCCTGAGCAGCGTGGGGGTTTGTGGGGAGAGGATGTGTAAAGAAGCCAGAGGAGGCGGGCAGGACGAGGCCTCTGTGCTGCTGAGTGACCCGCGGTGCTGCTCAACGCACTCTTTCTGCACATGAAACTAGAGCGGTCACAGGATGGCAGGACTTCCCGTTCCGAGCATGGGCGCTTGGTGACTGAAGCTCCTGCCCTACGTGCCAGCCCATGACAATGGCTGTCACGTAGCTGGCAGCGTAGACAAGGCTCTTTGGAAGTGCAGATCTCTGCTCTTTGGCGTCAGGTGTTGCAATGACCTTCCCCAGTCATTTGCTTCTCAAGTCACATCCCTCCAAACACATCTTCTTCCTCTCATTTTCCCTGTCTTCCTTATCTCTTGTGACTGCCACCTCCCTGTTGAATACAGGTGATATTTTCTCATGATTTGCTTTGGAAAATTCCTAGAAAACAGTACTTCTGCACTTGGAGTCTTGTTAGCTTGGAGGTTTTGATTTCTATAAGAGCTAAAAAGCAATAAAAAAGTATTTAAGCCCTAGCCACCCACAAAACAGCAGTAAACAAGGCCCAAGATCCCCCACAGGCTAAAGGAGGATCTAGCATTTGGCAAATGCTTACTAAATATGCTGTATTTATCTATTTTAAAAAGCAAAAAAGCATAGTGAACTTTGAGCAGGTGTTAGGAGCCTCTGCTACCTGGGTCTGTCCTCGGAGCCCTCCAGGTAGCGCCGCTTGGCAGCTGCTGCAGCATCCATGGGCACCCACAGCAGCCGGGGCAGAGCTCGCCATAAACCCATAGGCATTAAGAAAGATCTGGAAAATTGTTTTATTCCACACCAATTCATCCATGTCTGTGAAAAAAAGAAGTTACTTTGAAGCTTTGCTGCAAATGTTTTATGTGATGCAACTTGTTGCATTGATGGCCACTGTAAAACACCTGGCTTCTGTCATATTACAACACGTATTTTACCTAACTTGGAAAACATTTTAAAAGATTATTTAAGGTGATATGCTTAGCAAAAAACCAGCAGTGAGATATGCAGCCTTTTCGCGGACCGGTCATTGCCCAAGTTAGTAAATATGGCCTGGAAACAGCAGCTTTGTAACTGCTTGGTAACCTGAAGTGCGTTCATGGTCATGGGCTGATGTTGCAGCACCTGGGTGCCAGTACAAGCAGAGAGGGCTGTGCACAGCCAGAGCTTCGCTTTCCTCACCCGAAAGGGTTCTCAGGATTGTGCTGAGACAAATTAATGGGGTTATTTGAGGTAGCGCAACAGTGTGCACTGTCAGTGATGGTTCTCTACCTGCTCTTTTTAGAGGGGACTCAGATTTCTAGTTATTTTGGTACAGCTGCCTCTCTGTCATCGGCATTTTAAAATTGCAGATCTGTCTGTCTGTCTTATCTTCAATAGGGTTGCTAAAATGGGAGTGCCAGAGAAAAAAATACCGTTGTCTTCTTATGCATTTGACAGCAATTTGTGCTATATCAGCTTCCTGACATTTGCAGGTGCGTTTCACACAGAAACAAGTGGAGGAATATATTCCTGGAGGAGGCTGGGGTGATTATAAAATCAAACCGCATCATACAGCGTGTGCTTCAAACTGATTCTGTGACAAGTAAAACAGAATTGACACTGATATACTGGTTCCCTCCCTTTTCCTGAAAACATTATTTCAAGTGTAAAATGCTAATTGTAACAAACTAACCAGTGTGAATTGAACCATAGCTCCAATAAACTTTAAATGTATATTTTTAAAAATAGTTTCCACTTGAAATTATCCTTGAGCAATATAACACATGGGGGCTGACTTTTCAGTGAGTTCACAGAAATTGCCCTGTGACAACCCTGCAATCAAGTCCAAGCTGTTCTCCCAAAGACAAGTATATAGCAGTAGCTCAACAGTGAGTGCTTTCATATGTGGACAGCCTGACATGGTCTCGCTGTTCTTCACCTGTCAAACTGACCCTTTCTCAATCAGCACCTTTTAAAGCAGAGGATAAATCAGCGAGCTAAGGAGTTGTTTGTTCATTTGCTTGTTGGCTGTGGTCATTTTGTGGCAGAGTAGGATGAAAGAGCTGCTTTCTTCAACTTCTGCTCCAAAACAGAGCAATTAAAGAAGGTTTTATGGTTTAGTGTTTGGCTTTGTTACTTTTAGGTTGCTGTTGCTGTGCTGCTGTGTTGCCATCCCCCAGAGCTTCAGGAGGGAAGAAGGAAGATGTGTTGCAGTTGAACAGCCTTCAGCATTTCCAATGGTCACAGCTGCCTACCCAGGTAACTTTCACTGGGACTCCACTGTTGGTTTAGGGATTTTTTTTTTTGGCAGTGGCACAGTCCATATGTGGAATAAATCAGTTTTTCATCTTTCTAGAATTTTTATTACCCCATTCCTCCTGGCTCAGCTCATGCAAATAGAGTTTTAGAATCCCTCTGCTAGAAATAATCAAGAGATATCAGTAACTCATGATGACTTGTTAACATACAATTTGCAGAATAGCTAGAAAAAATATTCCAGTAATCTACAGTAACAACAAAATTCATCTTTATCATGATGATACTTTTGGAGAATTCAAAGGCATTTTTTATTGATATTATTCAGAATGAAATTGCCAATGAAATATGTTTTCCTTGGAATATGCTGATATGCATTGCAGGTCAGCATTCACAAACATGCATGCTGTAGGAAGAAGAAAGGCTAAAAAAGAAAAGAAAAGAAAAAAAAACAGAATAGTTAAAATATCACCTTTCATTCTTTTACTTCTAAAATGGCTTTTAATTCTGAAAGAACAAAAGTAAAACTTAAAATGAAACGTTTCAAACAAAGTGCCCAAATATATCTGGGGGAGGAAGAGTAAGTTTTCAAAAATGTTTCATTTTTCCAGATATTTCATCATCAGACAACTTCTGAAATCTTAGACTTTCACAGGAGAATAGGTCTGTTTCCTACCCAGTTCCAACTTGTTTGTAGAAATTGGACCTTTCACAGATTTCCCTCATACTGGCAAAGAGTCCTTCTTTCCTTAGTCTGCCACCATGAGCACATCAGCCATTTCTGTTTTTCAAATTCTCTTACAAGATTATTTTGTCTTGTGCATCACAGGGGAAAATCAGTGCTTGGAAATTAGTTCAGTGAAATTCTGTATGACTTTTTACTTGGATTTGCCATATTGAGTGGGTGGATGATCCCCTATGACATAGGTCTAAGTAATGAATGAACGTTTTCTCCTTCAGACCTCTTCTCTTGATCTCACAATGACCAAACTTCATACAGAAAATAATTTAATTTTTAGATTTGCTGGTAAAAATGGGACCTCTTAAATCCAGGTGCTATAACAGTATCAATCTTGTTTCATCCTGTAACAGGAGAGGAAGTAGTTAGGGCCTCTTGAGTGTTGAAAGGACTGTTGCCTAAATAACATATTTGTAATAGTTGTTTTCTTTGGCTTATTTTTGGAGGCTGCTCCCAGAAAACAAAGACTTCACTGTTAAAATGTGCCTGCTTCATGCATGCAGTAATTCTGAGAGCTGCTTCTGCAATTTTGAGTCATGAATCCTTAAAAAAAAACATATTTCTCTAGAGAATTGCAGTAATAGAATAGAGAATTGCAGGACAGCACCTTGTGAGGTGATCTAATCCCGGTCTCCTGCTTATACCAGGGCTCGCCCTGAAGTGGGGAAGTCGGATTCCTCAGAGCCTTTTCTCAGGGCTTTTGAATACCCCCAGGGACAAAGCTTTCTGGGCAACCTTCACCTCCCCCTTGTTTTTTCCGTTTACCTAAATTGGAGTTTCATTGCTGCAATATAGGTGTTAGTCTCTTGTCCCTTTGCTGCACATCTCGGAGGAAGGTCTTGTCTCCATCTTCTCTATCACCTCCCGAGAGGCAGTAAAAGGCTGCATGACATTTCCTGCGTTATTTCGCCTTTCCAGCTGTTCAAACCCAGCCCTCTTGGCCTCTCCTGATGGATCATCTTCCAGTCCTGGCTTGTCCTGGAGGTCTCGCCCCAGCTAGTCCACATGTCTGTTTTACTGAGGGCCCCCAAACTGGGCGCCGTGCTACAAACATGACCTTGTAGGCGCCCGGCGAGCGGGATGGGCCCTTCCCTTGACCCGGCGGCCGTGCTCTGCTCGCGCAGCCCGGCATGCGGTTCCCTCGCTGAGGCTGATCAGGAGAGCAGACTGGAGCTATTTCAGGATTTCAAACAAACCTCACGGTGCTCTCACTGCAAAATATCAACAGAATTTCTGCTTTGTTTGTTGTGGCAAGACTTTTTGTACGGGTTGGTATATAGAAATTTGTGCAATTTCTCAGTGGCTCTGGTTTGCTTAGGAAACAGCTGCTCTCTCTCACTTGTACTTCAGGGTACAACAGATTGTACTTCATTTGTGATTTGTTTTCCTTTTGATTACGAACTTGGGAGGTTTGGAAGTCATTCTCTTGCTCTCACATGTGGTTTTAGTCACCTGTGGAAGAGATGTGGCACTTTTGGAAGAAGACAATTGCAATCTCTTTCATTCAGTCCTTCAGGGATTTTGATTTAACTTCCCTCTCCATGTCCAAATGACACTTGTTCATAAACATGTAAAACTTTTCCAGTCCTCCTAAATGCTGATACAGGAATATTTTACTTTGCTGAACCAATTTTGGACAGGCAAACTTAAAAAGCTCTGGAGGGCTCTGCTCTCACACTACATTTTAAGACCTTACAGAGCTTTTTTTCTACCCATTTCTGCTTCCATCTTTCTGCTGTTTCTGATCCACTTCAGCTGTGTGACTTCTCATGGTTTTGATTTACATTTCACCTTCTGGCTGAAAGTTTCCCCAGACTGGTTGACCACACTTCCACTTTCTCTCCCTGAACTGTTACCCAAAGCTTATTACTCTTTTAACTTAGCTGAAGTCCCTAAGATTTTTATTACTGCTTTGCCTCATCTTATTTAAGCAGTCAGGCTGGCAATGTGTGTGTCAAACCTCTCTGTTTTTCTAAGGCCATTAAAAAGGTGCCTAACACCAAAAATAACAGCTGCTTTTTTAGCATGCTGCTCCTATACCACACCAAAATTTGCTTCAAACCACCTAAGGTTGCTCAAATGCCAACCTAACCCACTCACGATCTTCCTGGTGATTTCTTTTTAGCCACACTGCATTAACCAGACACCTGGAAATACTTTGCACATGGGGTGTAAGAGAGCAGAGTTCATGCACCAGGGTTGTCTAACTTCTGCCATATATCTGACCTCAGTGATATTGACATACATATTTGTAGTTATAATGTACTTTTTAAGGGTATGAGGAATTATTTGAGGATTTTCTCCTGAAGGAGAAAGCACTGAGTGTGATGGAGATGGAAAGGAATTCTGGTTTTATCCTCAGCCTCAGTAAAAAAGAAAAAAACAGCTTCCTTAACCAGAGGTAGTAAGAACTTTTTATGTTACAAAATCGGATTTTTTATCAGAGCACTTCTTTGAAACAAAACAGTTTGAAAATCTTTCTTTATCTCTGTATCATGGACTTCTACAAGGTAGCTTTCCCAAACAATAGGAGTAACATGGCATGGTGACTTGCCATCATGGCACTCTCCTGGGATACAAAAACCCAGACCAAGGCCCTGTTCCTTTCTGCACATTCCTGCACCTGTGTCTTCCTCATATCTACACATGCAAAGTGGCACAGCTCTAACACAAGAGCGGGGAGAGGCCTTACTGATAGAGCAGGAACAGGGCATCACTGGATCCAGGCAGTTCTGGCCACGTGAATTGGCGGTTCCAGGGGATGCAGTTGTGATTCTGTCCATTGGAGATAGGGGTGGGGAAGTAAAATCTTTAAAAACAATAAGCTTAAGAATCTGTTTTCATCTGATCTGTAGCACTAAATTTTGAAACTTTCCCTGCCCAACAGGAAAAGAAGGTTGCTCCTTGCTTTTATTTCAGGCTAGTCATGAAAACAGTGAGCATAGCAGAAAATAAATTCTATCTCTGTATAAAAATGGTAGCATATGAATGATATATCCATTTTATTACTAGCATTAGGCCCTACACATTTGGCTTCTCCACATAACAACCATATTCATAATTCATATCCTGTTTGTACATCCCATGAGAAGATACCGAAGGAGAAACTTCTCAACCGTCGTAGTGCAGCAATTGCGAGAGCAGGATCGGGTGTTGGTCAAAGGAATGTCTCTGCTTTAGAAATGACCTTATCTTCAAGGCTCTTAGCTTCAAAATCAGATTATGAATGCCCTACAGGTATAATACCAGAAAGTAATGTGGTGTATGAACTTGGCCCCTTTTATGTAACACGTTGTAGGTACTGGTAGAGGAAGAGAAGTGATGATTCACTCTCTGTTCATCCAAAACCAAGATTGCTGATTTGTATGTTCATATATTTGTTCATATCCCAAAGCTTCTCAAGTCTAAACATATTCTTGACTATTGACAAATTTCTATTAAAAATGATGTACAGAGGAGCATGCTTATGTTTTCTGTCATTGATCTTTTTCTAAATTAAAATTGATTAAAAATAATCATGCCTAATGAAATTACAGACTTCCTGACAAAACACGAGAGCTTCTCCAGAGGAAGCACAGGGAGCTCATGTGCAGGTAGCCCCTGCCAGGTAAACGGAGCGGGTCACTGCCACGCGCTGCCACGGCAGAGCAGCGATTCTCCCCTCGCTGCGGGGCTGCTGCGCAGGCTCTGTAGTCCCCTCCCTTCTCAGGGTCATTTCTTCTTCTTATCCATAGGAGTTGGAGAGAGACAGTGATTACTACACTCCTTAAGGGTTTTCTCCGTGAAAGTCAGTGTTACACATTGAGTGTAGTAACCCTTAAAATAGAAGCGGTAAGAGTGGTAACTTGCACATCGAACTCCTACTACCAGGTTTCCGTGACAGCGTGAAGGAGGTGCTGGGTGTAGCTGTTCAAGGGGCCTGTGCTCCGAGTTTGGAGCAATTCCGCCTTCATTGTGCATCATCCCCACAGCTGCACAAATACAGGGAGCGCGAGCTCCCTAACAACACACAGGGGTCCGTGCTTGCTGCCTCGTGCTTGTTTTGTGCCACTGTCATTCAATTGTCTTCAACGGTAATAACCAACATAAATCTTTTGCAATGCTAAGAAGAAACAACGTAAAAATTTGTTCCCTAGTATTTGTTTATTCTGTGTTGCTTGTGAAAGAAAAGATGCTTCATAGAGCAATTAATACTGCTAATAGGTTTCACATCTAGAATTAGGACTTTTGTAGTTGTGATACAAGGTCCCTTCTGATGTTTTTATGCCTTAACAGAAAAATCACAATAGTCAAAATGCAGAAACACAGAACTAAAGCAAGACTTTCTAGCAGGAAAAAGGGAGAGGAGACTGCAGCTATATCCTATTGCATCACTCCAGCAACATATAACGAAGCTACTGAATAGTTGTTTGAGCTGCTGTTATGTTATTTAACATTTGAACTGTAGAGTCAGCATACTTTTAGTATCATAAGACTACCGAAACACATTATGACTGCATTGCTGATACACAGCATCAAAGTTTCCTTCCTTTTTTAATCTTACGAGCTGGTGAGTTCAAGTACTCACTGAGGCTTCAGTCTTGCAGATAATTAATTGACTACTCATCCGCCTCGAGTTTATCTTGGCCTATCTCGAATAGCAGAAAGTGGGACTGCTGATGCAAAAAGCACATTGAGAGTGTGCAACAGAGATGTGAGCATACATTCATAGGAAATCCTCAGTTTTATTTATTTATTTAATCTGAAAAAAAGGCATTTCCTGCAAGAGGATATTTTTGACTAGAAATGCCTGTTCTTATCTATTAAATTGGGTCTAACTCTGAGTAAAAGTCAGATAGTTGGAGGACATGGTAATAGAAAAAATGGATGCTAAGCTAGAAAATAAGACAAAGCAGAGAACCCGTGTGTGGGTGCTGCGCTGTCTCTCTGAGCACTGTTCCAAAACAAACACTGCTGCAACCCTGTGCTGTGGGGTCCTCCGTTCACTCCACGGGGGAGTTGGAGGGGAGCATTGCTAGTTCAGAGCGGTGCGTTTCTCTCATCATGTAGCTGGAAATCCAAATGTAACATGTGCCAAGAAAGCATGAACAAAAACCTTTTCACTTAGATACACTGTATATATGTGAAGGGAAATTTTAAGTTTTCATTTGTTCTGTATTTTTCATGCATTTAGTATTTTGTAGGCAGATCTGATTTTATCCAAATTCCTCTTCTGCCAGAAGAAGGCAGATTTTTTTTTCAAGTTGTCAGTGTCCTTGAGCAATGCTAAGCACAAGGGGCCTGACTTAGTGGTGGTGCTCACCACTCCCCCCACCTTACTCCATTTTTTACACCTTGTTCTTTACAGGGATGTAACACAAATGTTAAGAAAAGGTGAGAGCTAAAATGGCCTGTGATATTTTAAGGGGAACATTTTCTTGTTGTTGCCTTCTTCCTCCTACCACCCATTTTTTGTCCCTGCAGAGAGGGAGCTGTGCCAGGCCCAACCGAGGACATCCAGCCACTGTGTCTGTCCACTCGGAGCTCGCCCGCATGCAGCAGGAAACCCTGCTCTGGCCTGAGGCTGAGCAGGACTCTGTTTGCCTCTCTTGCCCTGTGGACGTGAGGGTAAGACACAAGATCCTTCCTTCCTCTGAGCTGGGGCATCGTAGGGAACAGGGGAGAGCCAAGAATTGATCCAGTGTCCCTAAATCATTTTAGGGCAGGTCAGAGAGCTGTGACTGTGAACGAGGTTGGCTGGAACTGCAGCTAGAGCTCAAGCGAATTTTTTTTTTGCCCTGCAAACAGCTAGGAGCAGTCCTGTTCACTGTTAGAGCTGAGGCAGCTGAAAAAGTTAGCAGCCTGTGGGCTCCAAAGCGGTGCCTGCCTGTGACTGTACTATTAGACTTGCATATGCAAATGTGTCTGATGCAGAAATAAGATTTGCATGTCAGTGGTCTGCTGTGAACAAGCTCCAACTCAGCAGCTTAAAAATGCTTAGTCATGAGCAGACACACTGTTAAAAGGAAAGGGCCTACATCACATTCAAAAGTGATTTAAACATAGGAGAGTGCAAGTTTCATATATATAAATGTTTGGGAGTGGCATTAGGTGGTAAAACGTACATAGCAAAGGACAAGAAAATACCTCTTGCCTTGAATTAACTCTGAATTTAGCCTGGAATACCAATATTCATTTCAGGTCTGTTTCAAGTTGTAGGTTGCCAAACGCGATGCAGCACAATCTACCAGGCCTAACCTGCAAACATAAAGAACAGTTCCCTTATCTCTGTCTTATTTCTCCTAGTTAATTACTTGGCAATCTAAAGACTTCCAATAAATGATGAAAAAATCATTAGTTAGTAAGCTTTTTAGAGGTCCCTGGATTGAAAGGCATGATTTTAATTGAACACCACTCAAGATATCAAGGAAAAGGTGGATTTTTTTTGTCTTTTTGCAAACATACTTCTCCCTCTAACAGAAGTGATGTATTTTTCCTTAACAAGCAGCCAGAAAAGGCAGCTAATTGTCACACACCTGTGAAAATATTCCCCACTGATATTCTACAGGATTTTTTTTTAATATTCATTGCTTTCTGGGATTTGAGGTTTTCATTAACATTTATACTAACATTTTTGACCAATGTCTTTAGGTGTTCCAGTGTTCTGCAAAAGGTTAAGGCACCAAATTGCTGGTATGCAGTAGCACAGGCTAATTTCTTATCTCTGAGGCAGCCGTTACCAATTTGACCTGAAAAATCAAGGTCTTCCACTGATTTTAAATTTCTGATTTGAAACTTGATAGCAATAATGCATATCATATTTGTGTCACTTTCTCTTCACTCAACTTCTTTTTCTCTGACAAGTGGGCAGAAGGAAGGGTGTCCAAATGGCACAGGCTGTGCTCTAGGATATAAACAGTACCTGGCACTTGAAGCAAAAAAAAAAAAAAAAATGGCAACAGAGTTTGGCAGTACTCGCAAAAACCACATGTCTAGATGCTTTACATAACTGCTCCCAGTATAGGTACAGAGGTGCTATATCAGGCTTTCACACAATGCAGGTTTGTAAGCTCTGTCTGGGGAGTATGAAGTCACCTAAGCTTCTGCATTTGTGCTGGGATCAGCTGAAGTCAGAAGCATGAGTTTAAAAAAGGACACTGGCACATTGCCTATGAAAAAATAACTGGCAGTAAATCCTCTCTCTAAAGTATGTGGAAAAAGTGTAACTTAGAATTGTAAATAATCAGTAACCAGGCAATTTCAAAATACAAACAAGGACAGTCTTGGATTCTTTGTTTTGTTTTGTAAAGAAATTTATTTCTGAAATAGTTCAGTAAGTAAAATATATATCTGACTCTTGGGGCTTCCCTTTCCTTGGGGATGAGTTTGAGTTTCAGTGTTGTCCCAAGCTGACTTCTCTCCACACTTACAGCTCTCTAGCTCAAGTAACATGATAAGCTTGGGCTGTCTGGGAGCATAGCTTGGAGTTCATGTGCTCCTGGTGCTCAAACCAATAATAATAGTGAGGTTAGGACTACTCCCTTCTGCTGATAAAACTGCTTGTGTGATTCTGCCATCACTTTGTTGCATGACTGCCTGTGCTCGTGCCAACGTCTTTGCCATTCTTGGGGAGCCCTACTACCCTATCTACAGAAAAGACAACTCTACAGGTGATTTACCTCTACAGCAAAGGCAAAATAGGTGTATGCTGGCTATTCTGTGCTGTACTCCCTGTCCTCGTCCCACCCACAAAGCTGCCTCAAGCTGCTGGAGGCTGCACCTCGCTGGCCTCAGGTGCTGGGGCCTGTGTGCTCGGAAGGATCAGCTCAGGCCACCGCTTCAGCCCTGCTCACCAGCTGCCATCTGACTGACGAGGAAGCTGGACAGGGCTGCCCTTAATGCATCCATACATACATACATACGTGTATGTATTAATACATGTAATACATAATACATAATAGCTTAGATTTAGCCACTGTGGTTTCCCACATATATTTCTGAAATTCCAGTACACAGGTATGTCTATGTAGGTCAACATGATTACTGAAAATACCCTAATTCTTTGGTAGCCAGAGCTAGGCCAGCTGTGCAAAAGAGTCACTGATTCAGCACTTGGCCAAGGTAGCCTACACCAAAGCACTCAGTGGGGTTGCTACTGAAAATAAAGCAATCCCCCCCAGAAGTTAATACTGCAATTATTGTACAAATTGAAATTGTACTATTTGAGTTGTACAAATGGTGCAATTCCTACTTCCTACTCTCTATGGTGAATCTAACTTATTCTGAGACCAGCTGCCCTCTCAGGTTTTCCTCAAGTAGCTGCCAAATGAAAATAGATCAGTTTTATTCATTTCCAAGTTTGCTCTGCTAAAAGCCATTTTGGCTAAATGTGAGGATTCCTTCTGATGTTTCCTTACAGTGATCATCTTGTCTCAGGTAAAATTATAGTTTCATGAGGGAGGCAGGCATCAGTTGTTCTGATAAGCAAAGCCTGCACTTCAGTCAGTCAAATCTTCACTAAAGCCAGCAGCAGACTGCTCTGAAATCACTCAATCTAGATATAAAATGAGAAACTAATATTCCTAGTAAAAAGATCAGGTATTACTATAGCCCAAAGTACTATAGTACATTGAATGGAAAAGAAAGTCACAGAGGTATATGTGTACTCTTCTGTGTACGCTGCTGTAATTTCTATAGTGCTTTGTACTGCTCTGGGCCTAGGGACTTTGCTAAGGATGTCAAACCAGCAACTCAAATGATAGAAGTGTTTTGTTGGCATACAGTCAAAGAACCCTAGTAACAAGCATGCCCTCCGTAGTTTTTTTTTTTTTTTTTCCCAAGAGTGTGATTAATCCTGGAAGGTGCTATGTCCCCATATGCACTCTGAGACTATTCTGATACACACTAAAGAGTTTCTGCACATGGGACCGTATCCAACAACTGCAGTCGTTCTGCGGCAGGACATGTCCAGGCAACAAAGCAAGGATTGTTAGTGGAATTATTTCTGAAGAATAGCTGTTTCTAACCTACTGGGAGAAAGTCATTTCCGTGTTACAAGCCAATGGAGCAATTTGGTTGCATGTCTACTGTGTGCAATGACAGCATTTAAGATGTTCTGAGGTTTTAAGATCTTGATCATGACGCTACCTCCACCACGAGGCCAATATTCTACTCAGCTGTTCTGCCTCCAGTTCTGAAACGCTGCAGGGTATGAGGTACTTCTGGAAAGAGGAATGGGCTCCCCTGGGGCAAGTACTGGAGGAGTGAGGTAGGAGACTCCTTCAGCTCCTGCTCTGTGACCGCATGATGAAGACCAGGGAGCTTGGCCAGCTGAGACAAAGCAATGGAAAGGGAAGGGAGGAGTGTTAGGAGGAGTATCAGGAGCACGCTCCTGGAGGCACTCCGGAGAGAACTTCAGTTATATTTACTTTTACCCTCAAGTACCCTTGTGGTTGAAATTACATCCTGTGCATTTCATCTTAACAAAGATTCACATACATGCATCATTTTAATATAAAAAGGGCACTTCTTTGTTTTCAAATTAATTTACTTAGTCATCTGTAAAATGCACGAAGAATAATTTTGAAATGTATAGCTCTGCATAGCTCTAGCTTGCCAAAAAAAAAAAAAGGAAAGAAAAAAGAAATCCTACATTTATACAGTTGGAAATGTTGCTATCTAAAGAGGATTTTATGGGGTGTTAAGCACTGGGTGTACTGGCCAAGTGCACAGAGGGTACATAGCATACAAAATAATCACAGTCTCAGGTGATATATAAGTACTACTATTTACTATTTTTAGGCATCCGAATTATATCACTGTGTAATCATGATCATGAGAAGGACCATCAGACAACATTCCAGCAAGTAAGGTTCTGTATGTCCAGTCAAAGAAAAGAAGACGCACATTTTTTTAGAAGGATTAGAAAAAATGTTTTTTATTAGGGTGGGGGGAATGTGGAAAGGGATATGGAAGTAATGCCCAAGACATTATAATTCCAAAATGTTTTTCATAGCTGTTTATTACTTGCAAGTTGAGAGGGGAGTAACCATTTGACTGCTTAATAATTCAGTGAACCTTCATGTAAAATGCAATTCAAATGAAAAGATAAATGTTAAAACAGTTAAATAGACTGAACTTTGGTAATGTATCATCATTTCTTTTTGATAGAGGAACGTTCCAATGTAACATCAATAATCTGTCAATGAATGAATGGAAAACAAAAAATGATTATTTTCTAGCAGCGTATACAGATTTGATACAAAAAAAGAAAAAGAAAGCTACAGATGAGCAGTTTGTGAGCATGTTTCAGTGCCCCTCCTTGAGCTAAATATTTGCTGAATATACTTCAGTGTGACATACAGCAAACACTCATATATGGCATCAATGAAACCGCTGGATGATTTATTTCTTGCATGCACTTCCCTTAGCCAGGTTATGCAGGCAAAAATAGAGACCTAAATGGCAGAGTCTCAATATAAAGCCAAATTCTTAACTTTTATTTCAGTTTTACAATATAGTTTGCTCTTAATGCAGTTTAAAGACAGAATTCTTTTAAAGCTCTGATAAACAGGGTTTTCTAGGTTTTTTTAGGCCCAGTTCTGCACTGAATTTGAAGTATCTCTGCTTTGATCTGAAGAAACTTAATAAATAGATTATCTTTTCTATTTATTCATGCAACAGATGAATGAAAAGGAGGATTTCCCGTAAGTGAGAACTGGTTCCTTAAAATAAAAAGGCAATTGCTTACTCTGAATTCCGGAAGAAATGCAAGTATCATGTTTATTTAAGAATTTTGAGATGTATTTATTCCAGGAAAAAAAAAAAGAATCTTTGGATACAAATTTTGAATCTTGTTTGCAGGAAAATAAGAATCTTTTTAAGGAATCACAGCATTTGCTTTCTCCGTGGGTATCCATGGCAAAATGTACTCTGAAACATGAATACTGGCCACAGTAAGTTAGAAGATGTTGGAAAAATCAGCCAAAGAATTTTCTTTCTAATTGGCATATGTTGGTTTCTCTCCATGATAACTTACATAGCAAGACATATACATAACTCTCTTTCGATTATATTTATTTTTATTGTTTTCTACTGACAACATCAGACATAAGGATTTGATCCCAGTAATCTTTTAGGACATTTTCCTGCTTCTGTCACTCAGTTATAAGCTGTTTAAATATATTCTTCATGCTAAGTCTCAGGATTTTAATTCTTATCAAATCTGATTCTTAATCATATTTGATTTTAATACCTCTGTAGCCACATTCATTTTAAAGAAATCAGGGTGTCTGAAGAAGGGGTTATGGAGCAAAAGCTTTTTTTCCTGACTAATCTACATTTAGTTTCCCTGACCGCTTATACATTTCTCTGTGCTTCTGGTGTGGGGATCACAAGCTTCTCCCTACCACTAGCTACAATTTTCTCTAAAGGTATCGTGTGAACTGTCATATTCATAGCTGGTCCCCAAGCTGCTGAACAGTTCCTGTGGTTGCACACCCAGATGTAGTACCTTGGTGACGAAATCTCCTACCATTACAGCTTGTTGACATCGCACAGGAGCATCCCCATGCCCTAGAGGGACCACTCGTTATGTAACTGCTCCCCTGGCAGCACTCTATCTCTCAGTGTTCCACTATCTCCAATCGCGTTTTATCTTTAAATGACTGGGTCCCTTTATTGTGTTAGAACACGTTATATTTATTCCCCTTTACCCCCATCTGCTGGCCAAACGAAGCTGGCACATCCAAACCCACTGGCTGCAGAACAGTGACTCGCGGAGAACAGCGACTGCTTCCTGCTTGCCTGAGTCAAGCAGCTGAACTACTTGGCAGAACAAATTACATGACTTAATATAAAGACAAAAAAAAAAAGGGGGGGAAGAAGAAAGTTCTTTTAAAGGTATGGTTACATACACATTCACTGTTACACAGCTTTAATTTTGTTGTATAGTCTTATTGAATTACTCAGCATCTCTTTTCACTTAGAAAAAAAATAGCTTGCACTAAAGGGTTTCTAATTATAGTTTTAAGAAACCCCACATAGTTACTAAACAATTGGTCACTTCTGTTTCCCTCCTAAATTTCCTTTTTTTTTTCATTTTAGACATGTTTTATAATTTCCTGATGCACAGCATTTTTTTTTTTGAGTTTGACCTGGAAATACTTTGTAGGGGTACATCTTCATCATTTTTCTTTTGAAATAAGCAAAATTTCTGCATACTTGTAGTGTCTTTTTGATACTAATAGATAGTTTGCTTCCAAGCACAAAGCAAAGCACCGTAGGACCCACTTAGAACTGATAAATGCTCTTGAAACCAGGGTGGACAGCTGAAAATCCTGAATCTGATAGACTATCTCGAAGGATGGCAGGGGAGGTGACTCTGCCTCTAAACAACCGTTGGTCTCCGACGGAGAAACTGAAGGACTTTTCTTTCAGTTTGCCGTACTCAATAGTCCCCTTTTCTGCCCTCTAGTGACCAACCAAGCAGTTTTTAGGAAAAAAAAAAAAAAAAACTTATTTGGTACCCTCTTTAAAAATAGTCATGTGTTTATTCAGCCGAGTCTTACCACTAATATAAACGGGCTAGAGAGAAGCAGCTATTGTTTTAACACAATTTACACTTAGAAATGGCAGTCAAATGTTTCTAAGTTGTGGACACATGAGTTTCTGAGGTGGTGCTAATCATGGGTGGGTTATAGCCCCCAGCTTCCTCTAGAAAAGTCCTCACCAGAAGTTTGGGCATATATTTCAGCTACAATTTCCTTAATTTAGTCTGGTGTACAAAGAGAAACCACTAAAATTTACAGATTATTTTCTCTTAAAAATGAATATAAATAAAATTAAAACTAGTTTTTTTATAGGGGGTGGCGATTTCTCTAAAAACACTGTGAAGGTTATTAATATACCAGTCCTGAAAGATGCTAAGAATCTTTGACTCACTAAATTAAATGGGAACTAAATGTTGCTTTTAGAGCATTGCACGTCTAAAAACTATTTCCCCTTCACAGAGACCTGGCATGGTTTTGTACTCAAGTTGTCAGGGAACCATACTGAAAAAGGAAGCCAGGCTATAGGTAATTAAAAAAAAAAAAAAAGCTTTTTAATATTAAAAAAGTGTAAAGAATACAGTTTCTTAATTTTAGATCCATAACAGCAATATATTTTAGAACCATGTTCTTTTCCTAAGTCACTTCAGTCTTTTTCCATTAGCATTCCATAATGATGGATTTTACTAGAGTTGAAACAGCAGATTTTGGGGTGTACAGTCTTCACACTGAAAACAGAAACAACCAATTTCAAGTAAATTCATTTGCTGTTTTTGTTGTAGACCCGAAGAAGGGTTTATGAACTCAGACTTGTTTATTTTATTCCACCACACTAGCTGGTCTAAAAACAGATGTCTCTCTCTGCAAATCTTGGTCTGGTTTTTGACCTTCACAGAGATAACACTGCTATCACAGGCAAAATGCAAAGCATTTCTCACAAGTGTTTTAGGTTTTTTTGTAGTTTGTTTTCTGCATATCAGCTCTCTGCTTTTTGCCAGAAAATGTATGGGATGATCATGTAACTAATATATGCTTCAGATTTCCCTCAGGTGATCCATGGATCCTCAGGTGTCCATGACAGACTGGGGCTGGAATGGTAACAACCTCTGCTGCCTGGCTGTGCCATGTGTGGAGGTGCTCGGGGTCCCCTGGCAGCAGAGCAGGTCCAGCCACCATCACCTCTCCAGGCCCCCAGGTAGCTAAGAGGGAAGATGGTGCAGTGCTTGAGATGGTAACTACAACTTGAATCCCAACACATGCTTTGCTTTCCTTATGTGCTGTCTGTCGAGTTTTCACCAGCGACTCACTTGGCCCGCTGACATTTGAGGATTCAGTGAATTGGAGCGCTGCAGCTCCTCATTTCCATCTGCGGGGCCCGCACACAGGGCAGCTTTTACCCTGCATATCTGGGAGAGAAGATGTTGGGAAGGCCTGAGGTGGCTCCAGACCTGTGAGCCACATTTGATCATAGCTCACACCAGAATGGTGCGGCCCCATGCAAAGCAGTGCAGGAATTATGTATGTGTGACAAAAGCTGATAGAGACTCTGGCCATACCCTGCCTTTCTGCTGCATACTA